AGACCCATTCTCCAATCAAAATGGTCTACAGGCCCTGGGCAGGTGGTGGCTGGACTCTGTGTACCCTGAGACTTTTGCTGAATCTGTATTATCCTGGTGAACACCATTTACCCCAACCTGGTGATTCCCTGAGACCCTGAAATATTCTCCCTTGTCTTACCTAGGCCAGGATTTTGTAGGTGGCTTCAGGGGATTCACAAGCTTCTTGAAATGAAATGCAAAATTCTGTGTATGTGTATGTGTGCTTTCTCTGAGGGAGAAAGTTCAGAGATTTAATCAACTTCTCAAAGGGAGGTGGGATGCTGAACTTCCAAGTCCAAAAGGATTTTTTTTAACCCCTTAAAGCCTTACTGATCTTTCCCCTTTGGGTAATAGAAGGTGTCCCAAAAAATGTATACACACACTTTGAATAATTTTAAAGGCAGTGTTCATTAAAATACATTTCATTTTCAAAATTGAGCTAGCTAACAGCTGTTAAAGTGCACAGGATCACTATGGGCAGTGACAGGATCCAATTTAAACATTCTTCACGGGGAGGGGGACCAGATGGGTAAAATGGAGAGAGGAAGAGATAAGTCATTGGACTCAGGACAAGTGAGAAGCATCTCGTGAGGTCCTTGTCTCGCATCTCCAGAATCTCATTTGCCAGTGCCCCTTGGGCAGGAAGTCACAGGGGCTGCCCAGCATCTTGATAAGCCTCTCTTGGTCATCAGGTTCCACTCCTGCTCCTGCAGACACCTCCTATCCAGGGGTAGGAGAGCATTCTCTGCTTTTCAGCACTCCCTGGAAAGCTCCTCTTTTTCTACTCACCACCTTCAACTACAAGATGGTGCTCAGGTAAGAGTTGGCTCAGAACTACCTTCTCTCAGAGGCAGTTTTGTTCTCTCCCTCTTAGTCCACATGCTCATGATTGCATTTTGGGGTGGAGCGTGCAAGGAGCCATGGGCTCCCATGAAGGAGAGTCCAGAGACATGAAGCTCCCTCAGGGGAGCCTTGGGTGCTGGTAGCTTAGGGTGTGAGGGACCCAGGTCCTTTCTGCTTCATAGACATTGTTTTCAAACTGAATTATTGTTAATAACCTCAGATTTTACACATTACCTTGCTGTTCTATGAGGTTGTTTGTTAATTTGTTTGTTTTATGCATGTATCATTCCTATCCCAGCCAAAAACACAAGGCACACAAAAATAGGGCAATTTTAGAGATTTTAATAAAAAGACTGTGTACAAAGGGTGAGCAGGACTAAGGGAAACCAATAAAGGATACAGAGGCCCCTAAAGATACAGTGGGGCCTTGACTTACGAGTTTAATTCATTCCGTGACGGAGCTCGTAACTCAAATTACTCGTATGTCAAATCTTAAAGTGAACGAGTGAGACACGTGATGCTGGGCTGATGTTGTGGCGTTCACTGTGACGTTCGCTGCGCCAACTAGCGGTGGGGTATCTGAAGCTGGCTCGTAACCTGAATTTTAGCTTGCAACTCAAAGCAAAAAATCGGCCGAGAGACGGCTCGTATCTCGAAAAACTCGTTAGTCGGGACACTCGTAAGTCAAGGCCCCACTGTAAATCATAATAGGGAGATATTGCCCTTGCGCATCCTGAAGTGTAAAGAGAAAGATAAGTTGCCAGAACATAGGAAGGCTGTGGCTGTAGCGCTGGTTGTCACTATGACCGAAAAAAAAGGCCAACAGACAGGAGCTATCTCCTTAGGTAGAGTAACACCACCATGGCAAACTCACAGGCAGACAGCAGAGAGGCAGGGAGTTAAAACCTCAATCACTGTCATTCTGCCCTCCAATCAGCTGTCAGTATCACCCTTTCCTGAGAGCAACCAGGAGCCAGAGGGAAAGAGAGCCCAATGGTGAGGCAAAGAGATGTGTCCTCCCAGGATGCAGCGGAGGGTAGAGAAGCTGGAAATGAAATTTGACGTCAAATGAAGATAATCCATTTTTCTTATAGCCTCTTCTTAGTTCTTTTTCCTAGGACTTTTCCTCTCTCACTGTGATTACATCAACTTGTTATTACATCTCATTTATTTGATCTGTTGACACCCCCCTACTGGGTGTCACGTCTTAAAAATAATATCTCTCATCATAAATGCCTTGAGGATGGAATGTACATTATTTTTCAAGGTGGTTGTATACAAATATTTTAAATAATTTCAATTTATGATTTTGGTAGCCCTAGAAAGAAATGTATAAGAGGTTATTAGAGCTGGACTGGTGACTTCAAGTCATCAGACACCTGTGCTCTTTCAGATCACTGCTCCCCAGCCCTAGAGGGGACTTCATGCTCCTGCAGGGCTCCCAGACTCATCTGCATTCCATCCAGAGGAGAAGAGGGGAAGGAAAGGCACAACCTAAAACTGGTTACATCACTGTGCTCACCTCCCATTGGCTACCACCTGGTCACATGGTGTCATCAAATGGGAATGGAAACTGGGATTAGAATCCATTTTTTGGTCTAAAACTCTCAGAACTATTATGTGAGAGAGAAGGAAATGGGTATTTAGACCAACTAGCATTTTCCTCACCCCTGAAGCTCTCTCATGTTCTGAGCTCACATGAAGATTTTGCTCAGGTGCTGATCCCACAATGAGGCAGAGAACAGTGGAAAAGCCTCAGGCTGGGCTCCAGGAAACCAGGGCTGGCATTGGACCTGCTGTTCACCCTGTGATCTCAGGGAAATCCTTTGGCTCTTTCAGCCTCAGCTTCTTCCTGAGTTAAAGGATGATATTATAACAGATGGTCTCTAAGGAACATGTGCTCAATGCCGAGGATACAATAGTGAACAACAACAACTACGAAAAAAAAGACAAAATCCAGACAGATCTAGTCGTCATTATTGAGGTTTGAGTTTAAAAAGGGACACAAGAGCTAGCAGGTTTGACTCAGTGGTTAGAGCAGCAGCCCACAGACTCAAGGGTAGAGGGGTTCGATTCTCCTGGGGGAGCCTGTGCTGGCTGAATTGACTGATTGGGTCTGTCCAGAGAGAAGAAGGAACTCCCGGAATCTCCGGTCTGCTCTCAGCTGGATTCCACCCACTTCTTCCACACTGGATAAGCTTCACTTCCTTGTTATTTATGTTATTTACCAAATTTGCCTATTCTAATTCAATAAAACACACAAATGAGTTCCCATTTTAGATTTGTCCCTGAGTTTACTTGCTTTCTGCCTTCCCCCACTCCCCCATGTGTACTGGACACATCACCCTGGTAGTGGGGCTGCAAGGTAGGGGAAAGCTGAAGACTCTGACACAGACCTGTGGGTTCAGATCCAGGCTCTTCCACTTGTGCACGTGAGAACTGGAGCATGTCATTCAACCTCCTTGTGCTTGTCTTTTCCTATGTGCCACATGGGAATAAGCATAGTACTGGCCTCATAGGGCTATTTGGAGGATTAAAAGAATGTAAGCACTCATCAGCTGCTACTCTTCACCTATGTGTAAGTAGATTTATGTTTCTCACCTAAATTCTGCAAGAGCTTGTCTCTTTTCATCCAAAGAACTAAGCACTTCTTAACTCCACCACCACCAGGAGAATTCTCTTACACAAATGCTTTGATCTGCAAAGAAATCTCTACTCCAAATCACATGTAGGGACATGAGTCGCTTTCCTATCACACGTATCATAGGAACCAGTTAATAATGCCCCTTCTGTATTTCTGTCGCAATTACCTCTATTCAAACCCTTGACCATCTCTCTCTTTCCCAAAATGGCTTCTTTCTTCTCTAAAATGAAGAGAAATTTAATTCAGTCCTGAATCCTCTCCCACCTGGATAGGAGGTGTCTGCAGGCATAAAAAAATTATTTCAAACACACAAGAGCTTTTCACAGAATGAAAACTTAGAAATGGAATTTTATTTTTGTTACATATGTGTTTTTTGATGGTGGAGTTAAAAGTGCTAACTTATATCTTACATTTAAAATTCTTCATTTAAAAAGATATTATATTATACTAGATGGCCAGTGCACAGATTCATGCACCAGTGGGGTCCCTTGGCCTGGCCTGTGGGGATCGGGTCAATATTGGCAATCCGACATTCCCTGAGGGATCCAGATTGCAAGAGGGCCCAGGCCAGGCTGAGGGACCCACCCAGTTCATGATCGGGGTGGGGAGGGGCTGCAGGAGGGCTCCAGGGCATTTCCAGCCTGTCTAGCCCAGTCCTGATCGGCTGGACCCCAGGAGCAAGCTAACCTACTGGTCAGAGTGTCTGCCCCCTGGTTGTCAGTGCCTGACATAGTGACTGGTCGAGCAGTCGAAGGAACAGTCGGACACATAGCATACTAGGCTTTTATTATATAGGATTAAATCCAAATTTTCTTCTTCGTTTGTTCATTCATTCATTCATTCATTCGTGGATTAACATTTTATTGACAGCCCCATGGTGTTCCCACACAGACTTAGGCCCTGGGGACACAACAATGGGAAGAGTAATCACTGTCTATCCTCATAGAGATGACACACTGGGACATTTCTAATGCAAGAGCTTTGGGTGTCCTCACTCTGTCCTAACAAGGGGTCTCATTCCCTTCATGAGCCTAAGTCATAACCTCCTTTCTCCCTCCTGGGTAGACCACTCTCAGTCACTGAGATTGCCCTGGGGCTTCTGACAGCCTGCTGTCAAACAAAGCCACTCTCCCAGAGCACAAGTACTGGGGAACTCAGAACCCTCCTGTCATCCACAGGACCTGTGCAGACTCTTCTCCTCCTGCCTCCAGGGCACATGTCATGGGCTGGATGGTGAGTGGAGAGGTTGGACATAGAGGGTCCGTGTTGCAGTAGAAACAGCCCAAGCTCTAAGATTCAGAGAGAACTGGGTTTAAATTCAGGATCCAGGACTCCAAGACTGTGTGGTTCAGAAAGAACCTGAATCTCTGGAAGCCTCCATTTGCCACAGACAGGGTGGCCATGAGGGTCAGTGGTCATAGAGCAGGTGCTCAAGTCTTGTTTTGTTCCCAGGCCCACAACTGCAGCGTTTCTGAGCACGACTCCAAGACTGTGTGGTTCAGAAAGAACCTGAATCTCTGGAAGCCTCCATTTGCCACAGACAGGGTGGCCATGAGGGTCAGTGGTCATAGAGCAGGTGCTCAAGTCTTGTTTTGTTTCCAGGCCCACAATTGCAGCGTTTCTGAGCACGGATATGACTGTCACAGCCTGGGAGACCAACCTCACACCAACCAATGGAAGTGATCAGGCCTTTCATCAATATGATACAAAGTTCATAATCTTGCAATTACTGACAGTCATGGTGGCCCTGGTTGGGCTGGCAGGCAACACAGTGGTGCTCTGGCTCCTGGGCTTCCGCATGCGCAGGAACGCCTTCTCTGTCTACATCCTCAACCTGGCTGGAGCCGACTTCCTCTTTCTCAGCTGTTATATTATACAAGCCCTAGAGACACTCATCAGAAACTTCTCTCTCATCTCCATATCCATCCCGGACTTTTTCATGATTGTGTCCATCTTTGCCTACATCTCAGGCCTGAGCTTTCTCAGTGCCATCAGCACGGAGCGCTGCATGTCTATCCTGTGGCCCATCTGGTACCGCTGCCGCCGCCCCAGACACATGTCCACTGTCATGTGTGCCCTGCTCTGGGCCCTGTCCCTGCTGCTGAGCATCCTGGAAGGGAACTACTGTGGCTACCTGAATTGGATTGTGCATGATTTTTGGTGCCCAGTGTTGGATTTCATCACTGTGTCATGGCTGATTTTGTTATTTGTGCTTCTCTCTGAGTCCAGCCTGGCCCTGATGACCAGACTGCTATGTGGCTCCCTTCGGGTGCCGCTCACCAGGCTCTACGTGACCGTCATGATCACCGTGCTGGTCTTCCTCCTCTGTGGCCTACCCTTCGGCATCTACTGGTTCCTCTTATTCTGGTTAGATGCCTTCCCTCATCTTGACCAGTTTGTAGTATTCCTGTCCTGTGTCAACAGCTGTGCCAACCCCATCATTTACTTCTTTGTTGGCTCCTTCAGGCAGCGATGGTGGAAGCAGAGACACACCCTGAGACTGGTTCTCCAGAGGGCTCTGCAGGACACTCCTGAGGTGGATGAACCTGGAGAAAGCCTTACTGGGGAAACCCTGGCCATGTCGGGAGGCAGTCTGGGGCAGTGATGAGAGCCTCTGTCCTGATCAGTCTGAAAGAACTTTGAGACTCACTGCTGCCCTGCCAGGCTTGGAAAGTAGTATTTAGTCTTCTCTCAGCCTCAGAATGTGTCAGTGATTCACCAATCTCTTCAAATAGGTTGTTTTTAATCTGGCTTTTCTAGTTTTTCTCAGAGAAAGCATTAGTCTGAAAGTTATACCTCCCCATCGTCCTTGACATTACCAATAAATTTCTCATGTGATCTGAATTTCCTTATTGAATGCTTTTCCTTTAAACTTCATTGCAACAGAAAGAATCCTTGTCTGAATCAGACAAATCCGGGTCTGAAGTCCTGGTTCTATAGCTCTCCTCTCCAAGCCTCAGTTAATTCATTGTAAAATGTGGTGAAATCATCTGCTCATAGGATCATAGTGGGGAATAAATTAGAAAACAGATGAAAAGCACTCAGCCAGGTGCAAAATATGACTAAATATTTCATAAACATCAGCGGTTAATACATGTGAAGCCTCTAATATATTATTGACTTCTGAGGTAATATTTAATACGTTAAAAAGAAAAGAATCCCTGTCCAAAACCATAAGTAGTCATTCAGAAATTGTTCTACCTGATTGGATAGAAAAAGAAGATTCCCTATGTTTATCTCAGACTATAGGCCCTTTAGATTCATGCTTAGTGCTGTGGTTGGGGGCATTCTACAGGGTAAAAGCTTGAATAAATGAGTTGGCCTACCTCTAATCTCATTGGGTTGTCTGGGTTTAGGGAAAATGATATCCTTAGATAAGCACAGTCCAGGAAATTGGGCCTCTGAAACGTCCTCTGGTAGCATTTGTCCACAGCATCTTCTCTGCCTGGATCTGGCACATTATAGGCACACAGTACTAGTAGAGTTGGGTAAACACAGAAATGTGTGAATAAGTTTCTCTCATTGTTTCAAATGCTTCATAGTTAAGTTCTTAAGGAAATGCCATGTAACTCCATTTGGCTGTGGCATGGGCACATGAAAGGAAGTTATAGGAACTAAAGCTGAAAACACTGGTTGTCCCCACATCGTGTGAAAGAAATCTAGCTAACAAATGTCCTGGGGAGAGAGAGATGTGACAAGTAGTGCATGTGCTGTGCTAAATTCTTTATCTGCTGAAAGGGAACACAGTTTACACAGTTGTTGATATTGATAAGTCACAACTAGAAAGGAGGTCTCATTACACAAAGCTATAATATAACTTGTAAAAGAGTTAAAATGGGAACTGTAAACATCGGTTGCTATTGGTGATTGAGATTAGGAGAGACTTTACATTTTTATTTTATATACTCTTGTGTCCTCTGAAATAAACTAATGTGCATTCATTACTCCTGGGAGTAAATGGAAACAGATCAGATGAGCCAGACCATGCAGGGCCCTGAATGCCAAGCAAACTCTTCTTTAGCTATGCAAGCTCACATTGCCTGTTGGGTGGGCTTCCTGAACACGCCCACAGTGGGCAGTGACAGGCTCCAGTTCAAACATTCCTCACAGGAGGGGGACCACATGGGGTAAGATGGAGCGAGGAAGAGATAAGCCATTGGACTTAGGGCAAATGAGAAGCATCTTGTGAGGCCCTTGTCTCACATCTCCAGAATCTCATTTGCCAGTGCCCCTTGGGCAGGAAGTCACAGGGGCTGCCCAGCATCTTGATAAGCCTCTCTTGGTCATCAGGTTCCACTCCTGCTCCTGCAGACACCTCCTATCCAGGGGTAGGAGAGCATTCTCTGGTGTTCAGCACTCCCTGGAAAGCTCCTCTTTTTCTACTCACCACCTTCAACTAGTAGAAGATGGTCAGGTAAGAGTCGGCTCAGAACTACCTTCTCTCAAAGGCAGTTTTGTTTTCTCCCTCTTAGTCCACATGGTCATGACTGCATCTTAGGGTGGAGCATGCAAGAAGCCATGGGCACCCATGAAGGAGAGTCCAGAGATATGAAGCTCCCTCAGGGAAGCTTTGGGTGCTGGTAGCTTAGGGTGTGAGGGACCCAGGTCCTTTCTGCTTCACAGACATTGTTTTCAAATCTGAATTATTCTTAATAACTCAGCTTGCACACATTAGCTTACTGTTCCATGGATTTTATTGTTTGTTTGTTATATGTTTGTATCTTTCTTGTTCCAGCATAAAACACAGAGCACAAACTAATGAGTAATTGAAGAGAGTTTAATAAAGGTACTATGTACAAAGGGGTGAGCAGGAGTAAGGGAAATTGATGAAGATGGAGAGGTCCCTAAAGATAAGTCATAATAGGGAGCTACTGCTGAAGGGTAAAGGGAAAGATAAGTTACCAGAACACAGCGAGGCTATGGCTGTAGCGGTGGTTGTCATTTTGACCATAAGAAAGGTAACCAGACTGGGGCTATGTCCTTAGGTAGAGTAACACCACCATGGCCAACTCACAGCCTGACATCAGAGAGCCAGGGAGTTGAAACCTGCCCTCCTCCTGCCCTCCAACCAACTGTCAGTCTCTCCTTCCTGAGAGCAACCAGGACACTGAGGAAAAGGGGTCCAGTGGTGAGGGAAAGAGGCCTGTCTCCCAGGATGCAGAGGAGGGTAGAGAATCTGGAAATGAGATTTGATGTCAAATGAAGAAAACCCATCTCTTCTTATCGTCTCCCAATATTTGGTTTACCTGGTCTCTCTCTCTCTCTCTCTCTCTCTCTCTCTTTGTTTGACTCTTTGCACCTCTCTATTGGGTGTCACTTTTTGGAATAATATCTCACTATCATCAAAAATGCCTTGATAATAAAATATAGTTTGTTTGGTGTGTGTTTTTTAAAGTGGGAGTACACTGTTAACCATAAGTATTTTATATTTATTATTTTGGCTGCTCTAGGAAGAAATCCATTATAAGAGTGAATTAAACTGTGTCCCACTAGACACACCACTGTTCAGGGAAAAGTACTTCCTGTCCTCATAGAGATGACACACTCAGCCATTTATAGCACAAGAGGATAGGTCATAATCATACCCCTCATAGCAAGAGATTGTGTTCCATTTATAACCCAAAATCACGATCTTCTTTCTGGAGGATGGACATTCCCAGTCACTGAGATAGCCCAGAGGTCATGGCTGGGGCTTCCAACTTTGAGTCCTTGAAAGGAAATCTCAGTCCCAGGACAGAAGCAATGGTGAGCTCTGAGTCCTGCTGTCATCCCACATTACCTGTCGAGACTATGCTCCTCCTGCCTCCGGAAGACATGACATGGTCTCCGACTATGAGTGGAGGTATTTGGACTACAGACTATTCCCATGTCAGAAGAGAGCCCTGACTCTAGAGTCAGAGAGAACTGGGTTTGAATCCAGGTTCCAGGACTCCAAGGCGGTGATGCCTTTGGTATCATAATCTCTGTAACACAGACAGTAATTCCCAGGTAGCAGGGTGGCCATGAGACTCACTGATCATGCACCAGGTGCTCAAGTCTTGTTTCTGTTCCAGTGGCACCAGTGGAGGGTTCCTGAGCATGAATCCATCTGTCACAGCCTGGAGCAGCGAACTCACATCATCAGTGGTGGGAGAACAAGCTTTCAACACAGAGTTCCTAATCTGAAATTACTGACAGCCATCGTGGCCCTGGTGGGGCTGGCAGGGAACCTCTGACTCCTGGGCTTCCCCATGCACAGGAATGCCTTTTCTATCTATATCCTCAACCTGACGGGAGCCGACTCCCTCTTTCTCTGCTGCCAGATTATACATTCCCTATGTTCAATTTTGTCCCCATTGAAATATGCAGATTTGTCATCACTGTGTCAGTGTTTGCCTACATCTCAGGCCTGAGCTTTCTCAGCGCCATCAGCACAGAGCGCTGCCTGTCTGTCCTGTGGTCCATCTGGTACCGCTGCCGCTGTCCCCAGACCCCTGTCAGCTGTCGCATGTGCCCTGCTGTGGTCCCTGTCCCTACTGCTGAGCATCCTGGATAAAAAATTCTCTATCATTCCGATGAATTTTTTAAGCCTTTCCGTGTGTCTGGTATTTGATTTCATCACTGTGATGTGGCTGATTTTGTTATTTGTGCTTCTCTCTGGGTCCAGCCTGGCCCTGATGACCAGACTGCTGTGTGGCTCCCACCAGGTGCCGCCAACCGGGCTCTATGTGACCATTGTGCTCACGGTGCTGGTCTTCCTCCTCTGCGACCTGCCCTTCGGCATCCACCGGTTCCTCTTATTCTGGCTTGAAAAATATTTTGATGCCTTCCTTCATCTTTACGAATTTATAGTACCCATGTCCTGTGTCACTAGCTGTGCCAAAACCATCATTTACTTCTTCGTTGGCTCCTTCAGGCAGCGATGGTGGAAGCAGAGACACACCCTGAGACTGGTTCTCCAGAAGGCTCTGCAGGACACTCCTGAGGTGGATGAACCTGGAGAAAGCCTTCCTGGGGAAACCCTGGACATGTCAGGAAGCAGTCTGGGGCAGTGATGAGAGCCTCTGTCCTGATCAGTCAGAAGTAACTTCCAGACTCACTGTTGCCTTGCCAGGCTTGGAAAGTATCTAGTCTTCTCTTAGCCTCAGCCTCAGAATGTGTCAGTGATTCACCAATCTCTTCAAATAGTTTGTTTTTAATCTGGCTGTTCTAGTTTTTCTCAGAGAAAGCATTAGTCTGAACATGATACCTCTCCATCGTCCTTGACATTACCCATAAATTTTTCATGTGATCTGAATTTCTTTTTTGAATGTTTTTTCTTTACAATCTTCATTGCAACAGAAAGAATCTCTGTCTGAATCAGACAAATCCAGGTCTAAAGTCCTGATTCTGCAGCTCTTCTCTCCAAGCCTCAGTTAATTCATCTGCAAAATGTGGTTGAAATCATCTGCTTGTAGGATCATAGTGGGGAATAGAAAATGGATGAAAAGGACTCAGCCAGGTGCCAAATATGACTAAATATATCATAAATATCAGCTGTTAATATTCATGAAGCCTCTAATATATTATTGGCTTGGAGGCAATATATAATAAGTAACAAAAAAAAAAAAAAAAAAAAAAAAAAGGAAAAAAGAATCCTTGTCCAAATCCATAAACTGATGTTCTGAAGTTTTTCTACCGGATTGGGTAGAAAAAGAAGATTCCTTATTTTTCTCTCAGACTATATGCCCTTTAGATTCATGTTTACTGCTGTGATTGGGGGCATTCTATATGTAAAAAGCTGGAATAAATGAGTCGGCCTACTTCTAATCTCATTGGGTTCTCTGGGTTTAGGGAAAATATCCTTAGAGAGAGTCTCTACTGCATAAGCGCAGACCAGGAAATTGGGCTTGTGAAAGTCCTCCAGTGGCATTTGTCTACAGCATGGTGACAAGTTGGCTTTG